ATATATTATCTATCTATGAGAATATAGGGATGAATCTGTCTATCTATAATATATATATAGTATGAATATTTATGGATGAGTGTATAGATGTCTATATAGAAAATATATGAATCTATTTATCTAGCTTTGAAAATATATGGATATTATATATACTCATATACTATCAAATATGTATTGTCGAAGGCTTTCATGGCCGGAATCACTGGGTTGTTGTAGGTTTTTCCGGGCTATATGGCCATGTTCTAGAGGCATTTTCTCCTGACGTTTCGCCTGCATCTATGGCAAGCATCCTCAGAGGAAGTGAGGTCTGTTGGAAGTAGGAAAATGGGTTTATATATCTGTGGATACTATAAAATATATTCTCGCTCACTGTATACACACACAAATATATATATATATACGCACATAAGATAATCCACATGTAGTTCACGTTTAATCAGACCACACACTGCCTTGCAGAAAATATGCCACACAGGTGAACAGTGAAGAACAAGTAGTTTACTCTTTGTAGTTCATAACAACATAGAGAAGTCTGACTTGGCCACGGTGGTCCATGCTCTTGTTATATCACAAATAGACTACTGCAACTCACTCTACGTGAGGCTGCCTTTGAAGATTGCCTGGAAGCTTCAACTAGTCCAACGGTCGGTGGCCAAGTTGTTCACTGGAGCAACATACAGGGAACATACAACTCCTTTGTTATGCCAACTCCACTGGCTACCGATCAGCTTCTGAGCACAATTCAAAGTGCTAGTATTAATCTTTAAAGCCCTAAACGATTCTGGCCCAGACTACCTGTCCGAACGTATCTCCTGCCACGAACCATCATGAAGTATAAGATCTTCAGGAAAGGCCCTGCTCTCGATCCCACCACTATCACAAACATGGTTGATGGGGACAAGAGACAGGGCCTTCTCAGCAGTGCCCCCCCCCCCCCCCCCGCCTATGGAACGCCCTCCCTAGAGATATCAGATTGGCCACCTCCCTCTTGTCTTTTAGAAGGAAAATCAAGACCTGGTTATGGGACCAAGAGTTTGATCAGTGAGCAACAAGTGGAAGAAGATCACACAACTTAAGGCAATGAATTGATCTGGACTCGTTTTTGGTTTTCGATTTTAATAGATGTATTAATTGATTGTTTTAATTCTTGTTTTAATTTTTAATATTTTGATTGTACTGTGGTTGTTTTTATGATGCTAGCATCGTATGATGCTTTTGTTAGGCTGCCCTGAATCCCCCTTTGGGGGGAGAAGGGTGGGGTATAAATATCTATATAAATAAAAATGTAATGTTCGTTTGTGGTATTCACAGAACTCAAAAACCACTGGGCGAATTGACACCAAATTTGGACACAATACACCTAACAACTCAATGTATGTCCTTCACTCAAAAAAATGATTTTGCCATTTGGGAGTTGTAGTTGCTGGGATTTATAGTTCCCCTACAATCAAAGAGCATTCGCACAATGTGATCAGCTGCATCAACTTACATAACATCCTTTTATGAGATATTTAAAATAGTCTTTCTTTGTCCATGTGGATAAACTCCTTCACCAGCTCATGAAATGAGAGCAGTCTCCAAATTCTCTCTCTTCCATCTTCTTCTTCTCTCTCTGCACCTGCATAGCTCAAGCCTGAACAAAAGTGTAACAGCAACCAAAAGTCCCAGGCTCAGCCTGCTTCCCAGGCATTGCCCGACCAATCAGCTTCATGTATCTTATTTTACAGTTGACACAAATTAACTGATTCCTTGCATGCTCCAACAAGATTCATTGTCTTTCAATGTAATCAGTGTGTTCCACCAAGCCATCGTAGTCCAATTTCTTTCCTCTGAGACTGAGAGAGTATGACTTGCCCATTGGGCTTCTATGGCTGAGCAAAAGTGATTCAAACCCATAATCCAACCATTCAACTGCTCCATCATCGTAGCTCCTTCCTCCCTATATAGTCCTTTCCGAATCCGGGGGCTACTGGCCTCACATACGTTCCCTCTTTGTCCTTTCCTGCAAACGTCCAGAAGGCGTGATTAATGATCTTTTAAGGAATGAGAGATGGCCTTGAACAGATATTAAAGGATGCTAAAATTAGCCTCTTTTCCAGGCCTGGGATCCAGTGACTGATCTTCGGAACAGAGAGGGACATTCAAATGGTCTTTTGCTTCCTACTTTCTTTCTTTCTTTTTTTTTTTTGAAAGAGACAGGGACTCTTCAAATATGGCCAATATGAATGTAGATTTGAATCTCAGTGCATGTTGAATTTGGGGGAAACCAGACCCCAAAAGTAACTTTTCTTTTTTTTTTTTAAATGTATTTTTATTTGAAATCATAGGGGAAGGGGGCAAATGTAGTATTTTAATTTTACATGTGAAGTGGGAGAACAATAATATAGAAAGAAAGTAGGAGGGAAGAGAAAATAGATTTGAAGAAAAAATATCTCAATATCTCTAATATAGAATACTATAGAACAAACAAGCATAAAACCGCAAAGGATTAGATGGAAGTCTCCACTTTATTTCTTTCTTTAAGGAATATATAGACTGGGTTGTTGTAGGGTTTTCGGGTTATATGGCCATGTTCTAGAGGCATTCTCTCCTGACGTTTCGCCTGCATCTATGGCAAGCATCCTCAGAGGTAGTGAGGTCTGTTGGAACTAGGAAAAGGGGTTTATATATCTGCGGAATGACCAGGGTGGGACAAAGGACTCTTGTCTGCTGGAGCTAGGTGTGAATGTCTCAACTGACCATCTTTATTAGCATTTGATGGCCTGGCAGTGCCTGGGACAATCTTTTGTTGAGAGGTGATTAGATGTCCTTGATTGTTTACCCTCTGTTGTTTTGCTGTTGTAATTTTAGAGTTTTTTTTTAATACTGGTAGCCAGATTTTGTTCATTTTCATGGTTTCCTCCTTTCTGTTGAAATTGTCCACATGCTTGTGGATTTCAGTGGCTTCTCTGTGTAGTCTGACATGGTGGTTGTGAGAGTGTTCTCAAATAAAATGCTGTGTCCAGGTTGGTTCATCAGGTGCTCTGCTATGGCTGATTTCTCTGGTTGAAGTAGTCTGCAGTGCCTCTCATGTTCCTTGATTCGTGTTTGGGCAATGCTGCTGCGTTTGGTGGTCCCTATGTAGACTTGTCCACAGCTGCATGGCACACAGTAGACTCCTGCAGAAGTGAGAGGATCCTCCTTGTCCTTTGCTGAATGTAGCATTTGTTGGATTTTTTTGGTGGGTCTTTAAATAGTTTGTATGTTGTGTTTCATCATCAGCTTCCCTATGTGGGAAGCTGATGAGGTTCCCTTGATGTCTGGAAAGAACACTTTTCCTCTAGGTGGATCTTTGTCTTGACTCTCTTGACTTGTTCTCGGCATACTGTATACCATGTAGCTGCGGACAAGTCTACATAGGGACCACCAAATGCAGCACGCCCAAACATGAATCAAGGAACATGAAAGGCACTGCAGACTCCTTCAACCAGAGAAGTCAGCCATAGCAGAACACCTGATGAACCAACCTGGACACAGCATATTATCTGAGAACACAGAAAACGCTGGACCACTCTCACAACCACCATGTCAGACTACACAGAGAAGCCATTGAAATCCACAAGCATGTGGACAATTTCAACAGAAAGGAGAGAAACCATGAAAACAAATAAAATCTGGCTAGGACAGTAAATAGAACAACAGGGGAATTCCAGACAGGAAACAATAAGGGCCAGCTAACACCTCCCAACAAAGGATTCCCCTAGCGGCCAGCACATCAATGCTATTCATTGTAGCTTAGTTTAATATCACTGTGACACATACTCCATACAGGACAATGAGTTCTTGGGCCGCTACGTGTGCATGCATGTCACTTAGATATATAAACCCAATTTTCCTAGTTCCAACAGACCTCACTACCTCTGAGGATGCTTGCCACAGATGCAGGCAAAACGTCAGGAGAGAATGCCTCTGGAACATGGCCATATAGCCCGAAAAACCCTACAACAACCCAGTCTATATATTCCTTAAAGAAAGAAATAAAGTGGTGACTTCCATCTAATCCTTTGCGGTTTTTATGCTTGTTTGTTCTATAATATTCTATATTAGAGATATTGAATAATAATAATAATAATAATAGTAGTAGTAGTAATAATAATAATAATAACTTTGACTTTAACCTAAATGAAGTCCTTTTTTTCTGGTGTTCCATTTAATAAAGTTTCTTTTAGTAGTTCTTTTTTTCTCATTGAGAAAACCAAAAGTAACTTTTCTGAAGCTGCGAATGGGTTTTTCCATTCAGGTTTGAAATCATGGGTGTGCACTCGATTGTGGTCCCCCCACAATAGCATTGAGGTTAGTCTGGGTGTGTGACGAGGGCCGCCATGATGGGAGCTCTGGCGTGGGCTGTCCTGAGGTGGCATTACGAGATTCTGAGACGATGAACGAATGGACATACAACACAAAAATAACATTTCTATACTTTATCTAAGGTAGTCTTATATCTATTTTCCTTACACACTTGACTGCCTTTGCTTCTATGTCTATGGATTTCCTTGGTTGTAGGTGTGTAGCACCTAATCTTGAGGCTGATTTAGAAATTGTCATGTATAATAATTAGCTGTATAATTACTGCTTCATGCGGATTCTGTTTACCTTGAGGCCCAGTAGTCGAAGTTTGCCCGTCGGTTATGGTGCATGTTTATTTTTTTTTTCGTAACTGCTTAATCTACAGTTAGAGGCGCCTCTCAGAGTAGTTGTGCTTCGATCGTGCGGACTCATACATTGCTTGGTCTTCGATCGTAATGGATGTTGATTTCGATCTCCCGAAAACCTTACCTCTTTCTCGTTTCTCTTGCTTTCCTTCGTTTTCTGCTCTTGTCTCGGCACAGCAAGGGGGGGGGGGGAGGATTTATGGCGGTGTGTTTCACCGAAGTTAATCCGACGTTGGAATTAGTTTGCTCATTAAGCGCCGGGCAGCTCATTAATCCCGCTTTGAACACCTCTCTCCCTTTCTTTTCCAGATTTATGATGAATGTGACCTGGAAAGGGAGGGACCTGTCCTTCACCGAAGACGGCTACCAGGCCCATCCCAGGCTGGTGGTCATCGTCCTCAACCAAACACGGAACTGGGAAAAGGTAAGGCAGGGCTCAGGCCTGGGAGTTGTAGTTTTCCAAGATTTTGAGGCTTTGCTGGGTGCGTCAACATTGTCGAATGAATGCCGTTTGGCACCACTTGAATTGCCATGTGCTCAGTGCTATGAGAACCTGGGAGTTGCAGTTTTCCAAGATCTCAAGCCTTCACTGGGTGCATCAACATTGTCGAATGAATGCCCTTTGGCACCAGTTGAACTGCCGTGGGCTCCGTGCTGTAGGAATCTGGGAATTGTAGTTTCCAAAGGTCTTCCATTCTTTGACATTGTTGAATGAATGCTATTTGGCACCAGTTGAACTGCTGTGGGCTCAATGCTGTGGGAACCTGGGAGTTGTAGTTTACCAAGGTCTTGGGTAAATCAACATTGTCGAATGAAGGCCATTTGGCACCAGTTGAACTGCCGTGGGCTCGATACTGTTGGAACCTGAGAGTTGTAGTTTCCTAATATCTTGAGTGGATTGACATTGTTGAATGAATGCAATTTGGCACCAGTTGAACTGCTATGGGCTTAACACTGTGGGAGCCTGGGAGTTGCAGTTTCCCAAGTTCATGGGTACATTGACATTGTCGAATGAATGTCATTTGGCACCAGTTGAACTGCTGTGGGCTCAGTTCTGTGGGAACCTAAGAGTTGTAGTTTCCCAAGGTCTTGGATACATCGACATTGTTGAATGAATGCCATTTGGCACTAGTTGAACTGCCATGGGGTCAAGGCTGTGGAAACCTAGGAGTTGTAGTTTCCCAAGCTCTTGGGTACATCAACATTGTCGAATGAATGCCATTTGGTATCAGTTGAACTGCTGTGGGCTTAATGCTGTGGGAACCTAGGGGTTGTAGTTTTCCAAGGTTTTGGGCACATCAGCATTGTCGAATGAATGCCATTTAGCACCAGTTGAATTGTCATGGACTCAATGCTTGGGAACCTAGGAGATGTCGTTTCCCAAGATTTTTGTTGCGTCGACATTATTGAATGAATGCCATTTGGCACCAGTTGAACTGCTGTGGGCTCAGTTCTGTGGGAACCTAAGAGTTGTAGTTTCCTAAGGTCTTGGATACATCGACATTGTTGAATGAATGCCATTTGGCACTAGTTGAACTGCCATGGGGTCAAGGCTGTGGAAACCTAGGAGTTGTAGTTTCCCAAGCTCTTGGGTACATCAACATTGTCGAATGAATGCCATTTGGTATCAGTTGAACTGCTGTGGGCTTAATGCTGTGGGAACCTAGGAGTTGTAGTTTTCCAAGGTTTTGGGCACATCAGCATTGTCGAATGAATGCCATTTAGCACCAGTTGAATTGTCATGGACTCAATGCTTGGGAGCCTAGGAGATGTCGTTTCCCAAGATTTTTGTTGCGTCAACATTATTGAATGAATGCCATTTGGCACCAGTTGAACTGCCATGGGTTCAATGCTGTGGGGACCTGGGAGTTGTAGTTTACCAAGGTCTTGGGTACATCAACATTGTCGAATGAATGCTTAAGCAGGGGACAAGGAAAGGGTCTAAGGCTGATAGGAATTGTGGGAGTTGAAGTCCAAGATACTTGGAGGGCCCAAGTTCGCCCATGCCTAATATAAAGGATGGAATAAAGGGCCAGAAAAACTAGATTTGGGACTCCAGAAAACCCAAACTCAACTCCAAAAGCCCTAGTTTTGTTATCTGGCCATGGCATCAAGTTATTGATCCTAAGTTGAATCTATTTGTCACACCCCAGGCCTGAAGCCATCTATAGTTGTAGTTTTCCAAGGTTTTGTGGCTTTACAGGGTGCAAACATCACACAAGAGTCCAGAGTTGAAGCAAACAGTTTATTGCAAAAATGCACAAGAGTTATATTGTAAAAAAGCAGGAATAATGAAATAAGGTGTAGAATCCAAAAAGTTAGCAATCAATTGCCTCTTGTAAATCCAAAACCAATACTGTCCAAAAATAGTCCCAAAATACAAAGGCAGCTTAAATCCATAAGCAAAACTTGAACAAGAATACTAAACAAGAATATGGAGAACTCCCAGAATACTAAATTCCAAAACCAAGGCTTGAATACAATAAGTAGAGAACCTAGGCCTAGCTGTACCTGAAAGCCACGTTGCCTGAACTGAAAGCAGAGTATCCATTAGCTGCTAATTAACAGACATGAAAGCATTACGTCTGCCCTGGAATTTCTGCTTCCCTCAAAGCCATGTTGCTCTTCGAAGCTGACTATCTGCTCTAATCTGCAAGCGTGCTTCCTTGCTTAGGTCAGTATCGCCAGGTGCTTTCCCATGAGAGTTTCTCATCAATTCGTCTTCACTGGACTCCTTATCTAGAGAGGATGATTCCTACTCCTATGACTGGCCTTGAGGTTGAGGTTCAGAGGCAATTACATTCTCAGGCCCTGCATCTGAATGAATCCCAGGAAAGCCCACAATCCCATCTAACTCTAAGTCAGTGTTTCTGAACCTTCCTAATGCCGCAACCCCTTAATACAATTCCTCATGTTGTGGTGACCCCCAACCATAACATTATTTTTGTTGCTACTTCATAACTGTAATTTTGCTTCTGTTATGAATCGTAATGTAAATATCTGATAGGCAGGATGTATTTTAATTCACTGGACCAAATTTGGCACAAATACCCGATATGCCCAAATACTGCTGGGGTTGGGGGGATTGCTTTTGTAATTTGGGAGTTGTAGTTGCTAGAATTTATAGTTCACCCACAATCAAAGAGCATTCTGAATTCCATCAGTGATGGAATTGAATGAAACCTGGCACACAGAACTCCCACGACCAGCAGAAAATACTGGAAGGGTTTAGTGGGTATTGACCTTGGGTTTTGGAGTTGTAGTTTACCTACATCCAGAGAGCACTGTGGACTCAAAGAATGAGGATCTGGACCAAACTTTTCACGAATACTTAATATGCCCAAATGTGAACACTGGTGGAGTTTGGGGAAAATAGATCTTGATAATTGGGAGTTGTAGTTGCTGGGATTTATAGTTCACCTACAACCAAAGAGAGCACCATGGATCAAACTTGACACGCATGCATCTGGACCAAACTTGGCACTAATACTCCATATGCCCAAATGTGAACACTGGTGGAGTTTGGGGAAAATAGACTTGGCATTTGGAAGTTGCAGTTGCTGGGATTTATAGTTCACCTACAACCAACGAGAGCACCATGGATCAAACTTGACATGAATGCATCTGGACCAAACTTGGCATGTATACTTAATATGCCCAAATGTGAATAATGGTGAAGTTTCGGGAAAATAGACTTGACATTTGGAAGTTGTAGTTGCTGGGATTTATAGTTCACCTATAATCAAAAAGCATTCTGATCCCCACCAACGATAGAATTGGGCCAAACTTCCCACACAGAACTCCCATGACGAACACAAAATACTGCAACCCCTCTGACACCCCCTCATGACCCCCTCAGGGGTCCTGACCCCCAGGTTGAGAAACACTGCTCTAAGGCATCAGTGAACCCATCAACCCCTGGCTGCTGTGACTGCTACTAAGCTACAACACTATTATAGATTTGCTCCTTTACCTCTATCTGAGCTAGTGCAACCCATTGGGTTTCCATAGGTCAGATGTGGAGCTGGGAACCAATGTAATGTTTAGATGTATTTTGTCAATTACTGAAAGACCACAAAAAGTGCAATGGAGGGGCATTGAGAGAGACAGAATTGTCATGCGCCAAGCGTTTGAATATAGAGTCTATATAGAATGAGTCCCAATGACAAAGTTTGGGTTTGAGAACAATGGAGTGTCGATCTTGTCCTGTCTTTTCAGTAAAGTTCTTCATGTCCATTTTGTTTCCATGACCAAGGGTGGGGTGGGGAGTTTGAACCTGGATCTCCAGACTTGTAGCCCAATGCTCAATCTTCTCCCTTTTTCAGTCCATGATCAGCCATTTTCCCCCCTTTTTCTATTCTCTGTGAAAGCCGTTGGCATCAGATCTGAGCACGGCTCTGAATGACACCGAAAGGAGCCCGGGTTTTAACTCGATTTAGCTCTCAATTAATTCAGTGTTTCAGCGCGGCAGTGCCATCTGTAAAAAGCTGGCACCCTTATTAATCTCATCTGTAACTAAACGCGAAAGCGAGTGAACGAGAGACGGAGGGAGGAAAAGGGAGCCGTTTTTAAAGGCCCCGTTTGGCCCTTTTACGGAGCATTTGCCAATTGAGTCACACTCTCATTTTTTTGTGTCCGCTTTCACTTTGGGAGGAAGGCACGATTATGGGCAGCAGTTAAACTCCGTCCGCATTGATTCGTGGTCGTCGGGAGTCTTGGTGCGCGAGGGTGATTGTATTTAATAATGCTGGAACGGAGAGGAACTGAGAGAAAATGGAAGCAAAGGAGCCATAGCCAAGGGCATGACTTTATTTAATGTGCCCATTGGCAAATGGCTCGTACGTAATGGGCTAAATGGGGATGCTCTTATTGTCATCCCTGTATTCTTCTTATTCAGGGCAGTAATAGAACAGTAACAGTAGCACAAACAGGAACACCAGTGCTATAAGCAGTAACAACTGATTGCTAACTGCCTTCAACCACATATAACTTACTAGCCGTCCCCTACTAGGCGTTGTTGTGGCCCAGTCTGGTGGTCTGGAAAATAAAGTCACGAGAAAGTGTTGGTTTCTAATATTTGTAATTTCTTTATGCTTGTGAGTAAACAGTATTTCTTGATGGGTTATTGTAGGTTTTTTCGGGCTATATGGCCATGGTCTAGAGGCATTCTCTCCTGACGTTTCGCCTGCATCTATGGCAAGCATCCTCAGAGGTAGTGAGGTCTGTTGGAACTAGGAAAAAGGGTTTATATATCTGTGGAATGACCAGGGTGGGACAAAGGACTCTTGTCTGTTGGAGCTAGGTGTGAATGTTTCAACTGACCACCTTGATTAGCATATAATGGCCCGACAGTATTTCTTGACGTTTCTTTGTCAGTGTTGATGTAGAAAATGTCTGGTTTGCCTGCTCTGGAACATGCAGCAT